GTATTTCGAATGCGGCCAAAATAATACAGAATAAATACAAAATGAATATTCGTACTAAATATATTTCAACTTCGTTTGAAGTACGGCCTCTTTTTGCTAAGGGCCCCGTTTTTCTGCATCTTATAAAGACCTATCTGATAACTGCAATTCAATGCATGATTCAATACATTTCGTCATATATATTTCCTTTTTTATTTGAGGCATTTTGTGAAAATGTTTTCAGTCCTGATTGTCGTTATATTTCGTCAAATGTCTTATGATCCACTTTGAATTTTTTTTGTGTATTCTTATGAACACAATTTATGCCACATCTGTAAATGTGTACTGAAAATGCATACACAGCTAAACTTTAATTAAATTAAATCACACTAAAAAGCATCTCATATTCAATGCAGCATGATCCATTGTTTGTTTTAATTTCTGTATTGCTATATCGACCATAAATATTTGAAGATTTCCTCTACGATATCTTAGAGACCTTTCTAACGATTTTCTTTGTATTTTTCAGACCTCGTTCACGATAACAACAATCATGTTGATGATGATATTTTGTTCTTCTCTTCTCGCCACTTGCTACTCCAGCAACCCGACAGAACAATTCTTTAAAGTATGTTGCACTTGTTTTATACCAGATATTCTCCGGGCTTGCACAGACAGACATGCTAAATTAAGTGGTTATGGAAGTAGATGTAACAGAAAGAGAAATGCTTTTGGCAGCACCCAACCGCGGTAGGTGGGAGGTAGGTTGTATTATTACTTCTCACCGGATGTTCTCGCAGACACGTTCAAGGGCTACATAAGCACAACTGTATATAGCTGAATCACGAGCTTTCACTTGATAGTAAAGGCAGAATCAAAAGCAAGATGCGAAATTTTAACCCTAAAGGTTTCCTGAATCTAGAGTTGGCATTGAACTCGAAGATGGTGCTAGCTGTTGTTTTAAGGTGACCTGTAGGAGAGGCGGCGTCCACGCCTAAATGTCGCAAAACAAACAAACAAAGAAACTGACATTATTTCTGAGACGCTTCATGGATAAAAAAGTTTCCCAAAACACTTCTAATTTTATAATGATGCAAGAAAGGTTCAACCCTTTGTATATTCCGTCGCCATTAAATGTACGCTTTCGCGAACTATCAGCAATCTTGAAGTGTGGCTGGTTTATGTGCTACGACAAACCCCTTGAGGATTTCCTTAGTCAGACTTGGTAGAACCAACTACAAATATTACAGATATTAAGCAGAAAGTAAATGTTAAAGGAGCTGTGTAACGATTTTAACATTGGAAGAATTTGCATCTTCTACTTTTGGCATTGTTTCTTTTGTCATAATGGACAGAAAACACATCCGCTTCCTTCGAAGTGTTGCGATTCCGCCGCGTAATCGTGAGGCAAAACTTAGAATATTTCTTGACCGGCAGCCGCGACCGGCGGCCACGAGAACCACGCGGCGTGACGTCAAAGGGGACTTGTAAAAAGAGAGGAAGTTGTGCAAATACCCAGTTCGATCAAAGGTAATTTTTCTCTAAATCTTGTCGTTCCAACCTAAATACAAATGCGTCAAAGACCTGGTATAATCGACAAAACTTTTATTCTACTGAGTTTGAATTGCGCCATATATCAGAGGTCAACAAAATTGTCGCCTTTATCTGCCGCCGCGAACAGCCGCCAGAAGCGAGGGGGACGGGGGCGGAGCCCGACGGGGTGGCCTGACCCGGACTAGATTTCCTCCTTTCGCCACGTTGATCGCGCTGCGCAAGCACGTGGTGACGTGGCCGCAAGCGGATGAGTTCTCGCTGCACACTGATGGCACTAGAAAGGGGGCTTCACCGACACCCCGCGCGTCCCCCTTTCACGTCACAACGCACGTGACTCGGAAGTCGGTGAAGGAGTTGATAGGTGCCGAAAACCTCAATTTTCTCAATTTTTAAAATAAAACTAGGACATAGAGGCAAAAGCATTTTCTCTTTTGTTCTTTACTTCAGAAAAGTCGAGATAACAACTCCCAAATTATTTAAGCACAGCACTGAAATTGTTACACAGATCCTCCAAATAACGCTAGAGAGCTAGTTTTGGTATACGTTAGGACGATCAAGTCGAGCATTTATTGTGCTTAACGAAATTAAAAAAACATTGTAGTATCAATTGGAATATTTTCATGGAGCAAGCTTTGTTATGCCATGACACATGACAAGAAAATATATTCCAGTAAAAAAATAGTTCACCTCTTCAAGTGGTAGTGTCTTGTTGGGTTTTTATGCTCCATTGTTGATTCAACATTAAAAAATATCTTGTTGTGAACAATTACACACATGCCTGCTTCGTGATGTGCTATGAACATGAAGAAAAATTTATGGTGGTCGAGAAACTCTTATCTTGTCTTCTGGGATTCGAAATGACTTGTCATGCATTATAGAAACTTTTCACGGCTCTTAAAATTTTAATATAACGCAGTAATTTTAGTAAAAATCAATAATCACCTGGATTTGTAAGGATATGATAAATGATTTTTCAGTCACTTTGGAGATTTATTTAATGTCGGGTTCTAAATTGGGCCAGTTGTTAACAGTTAACCATGATAGAATAAACACGGACGACGAACAAAAAACGAACACTCTCCTTTCGTGCTCGTCTCTTGTTCGTCATCCGTGTTTACTGGGGCTTTATTTTATCAGATTTACTTCAAATTTAAACTCTTTGACTATTATAAATAAAGTCAGGAGACAACTGGGTAAGTTAAACCTGCAAGGTTTATAGTGAGAAAAGCACCTGTATTTAGGGTGTTTCCTACGAGGAGTTATTAAGAAGTTCCCGCACTAACAGCACCGAACAGAACCAAAGCATTGTGCCGCAGCGCAACGCCAGGGGATATTTCCAGGAAATTTACCAGCCAGTCAGCCAAAATTAATTTGGCGAAGTCAAAGTGATTCCAAGTTGCGCCGCTACCAAGCTTAGAATTTATTTTACATTGTTCACACTGCTAGACCTAAATGAAAAGCTTGAACAAAATGCGTGCATAAGATTTTGCGTAAAAATTTAACAAGAACACGTCAGAAACCCAGATATTGCTACGGAAAGCATTTTTTGGACTTGTTCCAGGAAATACACAAATCTGTAAATGATATGGGCGTTTTTAGCCAGATCAAGAATTGCTTGAAGACAATCAACAAGCAGTACGTCATTCAAGAACCGTTACTCCTAAAAGGTTAAAAAAATTAGCGTGTTACCTTATAGAGGCCGTCAGAAAAACATTTCGAACATCTGATCAAGTCGGCGTAGTCTGTTTCGAGTGAATATTTATCATGGGACGAATTCACGCCTGTTGTGTGCAACACATCCTGTCGATCGTGTGTAAAAAAAAGATATCTTCCAAGATTTCAAGAACACAGTTTTTGGTTTGGAACAACATACATGCACTGCATCCATATACTCCTTATTTGGTCATCCATGACCCTTGAAGGTTCCTTAAGATGGAGCCTGAAAAGACGGTTCACTCGAGCAGATTCAGGAAAAGACGAAGGTTCTCCTGAAAAACCTGAATCACAAGAGGCTTTTCGACAGTGGCAGACCCGCTAAGACCGTTGTAATGCCCCCATTACTCATTAATCTGGAATTTTTCGTTCCTCTAAAGCATCGTCCATAATGTGAGTTATTCATAATAACAAAACAAACCTGCATGTGTTTACCCAATTCGTTCCCAAATGTTTTGCTTATTTAACGTGGATTTAATAGTAACGCGATTCGTATTAACGAGACACGTCTGTACCTCTAAAAAAGACTTTTTTGAGGGACATAATAGTAAAAAAACTTGGTAACCTCGTATGTCGCTCTAAAACGAGTTCGAGAACATTTTGGTGCGACCTCGTGTTTCCCAGCGCGGCAAATGTATAATAGAGATGATCATTTAGAAGAAGTTAGGAAATTGAAAATAGTAATATAATTTTGTTTTTTGTATTCAGAATTATCCCACCCAACGTTTTTTAGTTAATTTACGAACTTTTGTCAATTTTGTTAATTTAAAACACGCACGCGAACACACACACACACACAAACACAAACACACACACGGGAGGACTGCGAGAAATTCCCGCACTTTGCAAGGTCAGACTATGCCAAACGCGGGAATTACTCGCCATCCTCGTGTGTGTGTGTGTGTGTGTCTGTGTGTGTGTGAGTGTGTGTGCGTATATCTGCGTGTGCGTACGCTTGCGTGCGTGTGCGTGTGCGTGTACATGTGTGTTTGCGTGTGTGTGTGTGTGTGTGCGTGTTTGTGTGTGTGCGTGTGCGTGTGTGTGTGTGTGGGTGTCCTTTATGATTCGAGGTTGTGTGCGGTTGTCGGTATAGGTAGAAAGTTAGGGTACACTGTATAGTGGGCGAGGAGGTCCTTTGAATTGTGAAAGAGGACTGGTACATGTATATCAGGCGATGGTTGCTCTAAATAATAAACTTCAAGCTGTGTTAGAGATCCATAGTAACCCTGAGACGTAGGGAAAATAAAAAAAACGGAAAAAACAACCAAGTCTTTACATCAATGCCATGCCGTTTTTTTTTGTTTTTTTTTTTTTTCGTCTTAGGGTTATTATGGATGTCATTCACAAGCTCGCCTTGAATGTTTACCTTACTTCACCGTAAGAGAGTCTTCGTTGTTCTCTTTGTTTTCTTTCCTGCGTCTCAGGGTTACTATGGGTGTCATTCACCAGCTCACCTGCGGTTTTTACCTTCTTTCCTGTGGCATTACGTTTTTTGTGCAACCGGAATATTCCATAATCTCAGTGCAATTCTAGTCTGATGATAGCATCACCAAACTGAATAGAGAAAAGCTCCGAATAATTCTTGGAATCTCAGTTCGAGCTTACACATTAAACGTAAACAATAATCATAGTTGATGTTTTTTTTTTATTATTATACCAAAATATGTTCAAGTGTGTGCTACGCAGCTCTGTGGAACAGCTCAAGTATTGTGCTCAGCCCCTAACCTGTTGGCTTGGTCCGACCGTTTTTTAAGGACACGGAAACAAGACCAATCCTTCTCTACGAGTGCTACCAGAGCGGAAACAGTATCGATGCGCCAGGAACCAGTAACTTTACTCTTCTCTATGACGGCACGAGCAAAATAACAAAAGCACGTGAAGGTGCCACGTGGTCAGCAACAAAGGGATCTACTGAGTCTTACGTTGTGTATGTTTGACCGAATTTTTAATTAAAAATAGTATGACCGCTGTAAGCATGTATAGTAAATGTGATTACCTTAATATTATTGCCAAGTATTATGGGGTGGAGAATTCGTTCCTGAAAATCCTTAAGCGTTTATTAAACAAAAAATAATTACAGAGACATTGATTATGCCTTTTTTTATGCCGTCCGGACTGTATGAAATGTTTCCTAAAACTTAAGCAGGATGGCACATCATTTGAAAATAGGCGTCATCATTGCCTAATTGTAAATGTCAATACGTGAACGAGTAATAACAATTGTTCATATCGCTGTACACACGATAGTTCACAAATCCTTGTGTTTTTCTAACAATATCTTTTTCGGAGATAAATGTTCAAAAGTGTGCCAGCAAGAGTAAAATATAGTATATATCTTAGGTTTAATGTAAGGGAAGTAGCCAAAATTGTAGTTCTGCCATGATTCTATAGATATTACCGCGCGCGCAGCTGGCCAAGTAGGCAGCGTGCGCGTGGCCTAACGGTTGTCGCGCTTGCTTTCCACGCTGAAAGCCAGGGTTCGATCCCTGGCCGCGGAGGCACATTTTTTTTTTTTTTTTTGACTCTGTAAAGTAATGTTTTGGTAAATTTGAGAACCATGTTGCTTGTTCGAGGTCGGAATGTTCTACGCGCCGAACCTTCCACGCCGATTATTCCAGAAGCCCACACGTGTACATAAGGGGCTCCGCGTGGCGATCTGCATTCAGTCTCGCCCCAGCGTTCGATCCTGCGGTTTCGCCGACTTCGACGCCCGCGACGCTCTGTTATTATTCTTTGTACCCCTTTTATTTTTGGCACAAGTTCGCCACATTAAACGTTTATTTCTTTCTGTTTATTTATTATTTTTTGGTCACCACCCGTGACACTTTGGTGGAGGTGCGGGGTAACGGATGCCCGTGCAGCGTTCCCCTCCGAGGGCCCGCAGTGCAAGTCCGACGCCAAGCCCACGAAGAACCAACGAAGGCACTACCGAGATCCGGTTCAGTCGTCGCAACCAAGGCCTACACCCGGGATTCGGACTTCTGCCGCCCAGGACCAAGCAGCCAACGAAGCCAACGATGGCCAACCAGTCGCCGACCCCCGCCGCTCCTGCCGTCGTCTACCTGCCCGCCGCTCCCCGCAGGCCGACTCCCTTCCACGGCGAGATCCATGAGGATGTCGAAGACTGGATCAAGCACTACGAGCGTGTGGCGCGGCACAACGGATGGACTAGGGAGCAGCGCCTCCAGAACCTCTACTTTTCGCTGGAGGGTACTGCGAGGCATTGGTTCGAGAATCACGAGGCTTCGCTTACGTCGTGGGACATCTGTGTGGCCGAGTTGCAGCGGACGTTCGCCACCCTACACCGACGGGAGAAGGCAGAACATCTCCTCCGAATTCGAACGCAGGGCCCCGACGAAAGCGTCACAAGCTTCGTAGAAGATGTCCTCCGCCTGAGCGCCCGTGCCGACCCACGAGCCACAGACGACAAGAAGCTGCGGGTCCTTATGCGCGGGGTGAGAGACGACATCTTTGGAGGCCTCGTGCGCAACCCGTCGGGCACCGTCGAAGCCTTCGTCACCGAGGCGACAAACATCGAGCGCGCCCTCCAAGCGCGCGCTTCCCACTACCAGCGACATCCAAGTGTCGCTGCAACCGCGCTGCTTAGCGGCGAGAACGCTCCTGGAACGGACATCCGCGAAATTATCCGGGAGGTCGTCCGGGAGGAACTCCGCCAGTTGCTGCCAGCCGCAAGTCGTCCAGCGACACTCTCCATTGCCGAGGCTGTGCGCGAGGAAGTACAACGGGCGCTCCAACCAGAGGTTCCTGTCACCACGGTGGCACCGGAGGAACCGACGTTGAGCTACGCTGCCATAGCCCGACGACCGCCGCAAGCTCCCCGCCAAGCCGCGGCGCCACCCCGAAGACACGCCCCAACGCCGCAGTATCCCCGACGACAGGAAGATCAGGCGCACGTTCACCCAGACCGACCTGCGCCGAGGAAGACAGACGTCTGGAGGACGGCCGACCGACGCCCGCTGTGTTACCACTGCGGGGAAGCCGACCATGTGTACCGCCGATGCCCATATCGACGACTCGGGCTGCGTGGATTCCACCCAAACGACCCACGCCCCCCGTATGGTGAACGCCCTCGGGAGATCGACGAGTATCTGCAACGACCTCAGTCCCCCGAGCCTGCGTCCCGCCGAGAGTTCCAATCGCCTTCACCACGACGTCCAGTTTCGCCGATGCACCGACCCCGACGTGAAAGCCTGTCGCCCCTCGCTCCACGCCGGGGAAACTAGGCGCGGCAACCCCTGGAGGTGGAGTTGCCGAAGACAACCGACGCCAAGATCCTCCACGAACGTCGGAGGGCCCCCACTCGAACGCTACCGGAGACCGAAACGACGCTCCTGAAACGGTGTCCAACAACCTAAACGTCATCATCGACGGCCACGACGCATCGGCACTCGTGGACACCGGAGCAGACTACTCAGTCTTGAGTGGGAGGCTCTCCCGCCGCCTTCGAAAAGTCGCGACGCCGTGGGATGGACCTCAAATGCGAACCGCCGGAGGGCACCTCATCACACCAGTCGGGAGGTGCACTGCTCGCGTCGAGATCCACGGTGAGACGTGCCCTGTGAAGTTCATCGTTCTGCAAGACTGTTCGAGGGACGTTATCCTCGGAATGGACTTTCTCTGCGAGTATGGCGCCGTCATCGACCTCGCTGCAAACCAGTTGACGCTTCGAAAGCCCGTCGTGCCGCCGGTGGAGATCAACACGACGTCAACCGCGATCCGAGTTATCGCCGACCATGTGAACCTACCGCCGCGGTCGAGTGTTTTCGTCACCGTTATAACCGACGCAGCCATGCACGGTGAAGCTCTTCTGGAAGGCAGCGTCCAACTGCTCCTCGAAAAAGGAATTGGTGTAGCAAGAGGCGTGACGGATCTCCAAGAAAGACGTACAACTGTTCTTGTGACGAACTTTCGAGAGGAGCCGCAGCACCTAACGAAAGGTACCACCGTGGGCCACATCGAGGAGCTTCAGGCGCCAGCCGTGGTCACCGCAATCTCCGAGGAAACCTCGTCGCCACAGCAGAAGTGCACGACACCGCTGCCGCTCGACATCGACCCCGAGCTCCCAGCTCCAAAGAGCCGGCAACTGGTTGAACTCCTCGCCGAATACAGTGACTGTTTTGCCACGACATCGAAAGTTCGCCAAACACCAATGGCGAAACATCGCATTATTACTGACGACGACGCACTCCCTGTCCACCAGTCGCCGTATCGAGTCTCCTTAAAAGAAAGGAAAGTGATTCAAGATCAAGTCCAGGAGATGCTCGACGACATCATTCAACCCTCAAGAAGTCCATGGGCGTCCCCAGTCGTCCTTGTAAAGAAGAAGGATGGGACCCTGCTGTTCTGCGTGGACTATCGTCGACTGAGCTCTGTGACGAAGAAGGACGTCTATCCGCTCCCCCGCATCGACGATACGTTAGACCGACTGCGCCACTCCCGATATTTTTCGTCGATGGACCTGAAGAGGAATTACTGGCAGGTTGAAGTCGACGAACGTGACCGGGAGAAAACTGCCTTCGTCACTCCCGACGGACTGTACGAATTCAAAGTGATGCCGTTCGGACTTTGTACAGCACCAGCCACCTTCCAGCGCGTCATGGACACCGTGCTGGCAGGTCTGAAATGGCACAGCTGCCTCGTCTACCTGGACGATGTCGTGGTATTCTCACGAGATTTCGACGAACACCTCAGACGACTTCGAGCCGTGCTTCAAGCCACCAAGACCGCCGGCCTGTCACTCAAGCCAACAAAGTGTCGGTTCGCCTATGGGGAACTAAAGTTCCTCGGCCACGTCGTGAACAACAAAGGTGTTCTACCTGACCGCGAGAAGACCCGCGCCGTAGCTGCATTTGCTCCGCCGTCTGACAAAAAGGCAGTAAGAAGATTTCTCGGACTCTGTGCCTATTACAGGCGCATTGTTCGAGACTTCGCCAAACTATCCGCACCGCTGACACACCTCACGAAGGACGCCGTGAAGTTCGAGTGGACAAAAGAACACCAAAGGTCATTCGACGAGCTCAAACGAAGACTCCAGACGCCCCCGATTCTTGGCCATTTCGACCAGTTTGCTGAAACCGAGATCCATACCGACGCCAGTAACATCGGACTGGGTGCGGTACTAGTCCAAGTGCAGGACGGTGCAGAGCGAGTTATCGCATACGCAAGTCGGACGCTGTCTAACGCGGAGACGAACTATTCAACGACTGAAAAGGAGTGCCTTGCTGTCTTCTGGGCAATAACAAAGTTTCGCCCATATTTGTATGGAAGTCCTTTTCGCGTGGTTACAGATCACCACTCGCTCTGCTGGCTAGCGAATCTGAAGGACCCCTCCGGACGCCTCGCTCGGTGGAGCCTACGACTGCAGGAGTTCGACATGACCGTGGTGTACAAGTCCGGCCGGAAGCACAATGATGCCGACTGCCTGTCCAGGGCCCCAGTCGAGGCCGGTCCTTCCTGCACCAAAGAGGACGACGATGAGTGTTTCCTTGGCGCTCTGGATGTCAGCGACATGGCAGCACTCCAGCGAGACGACCCTGAGCTGCGAGCACTCATCGAGCATCTAGAGGGACAAGGAAGCGCACATCCGACAAGGTGTGCTCTACAAGGAGAACTTCAGCGACAACAGCACGGCGTGGCTGTTGGTGGTCCCTTCCAGCCTTCAAGAAGAAATTTTTCATGCCTGCCACGATGACCCGACGGCGGGACACCTTGGTTACAGCAGGACTCTTGCCAGGATACGCAAAAAGTACTACTGGCCCAAGCTTGCGAAGACAGTGCACCACTACACCCGATCTTGCCACGAGTGTCAACGACGGAAGAAGCCACCGACGACACCGGCAGGACTTCTTCAGCCTATTACGCCGCCATCTGCCCCATTCCAGCAAGTCGGTATGGATTTACTCGGACGTTTCCCACCGTCGACGCAAGGAAACCGATGGATCATTGTCGCAACCGATTATCTCACGCGGTACGCCGAGGCAAAAGCCCTTCCATCAGGAACGGCTGTTGAAGTCGCGAAGTTTTTCATCGAGTCCATCGTCCTCCGGCACGGCGCTCCCGAAGTACTGATCTCAGACCGTGGATCATCATTCATGGCCCAGCTGACGCGGGAAGTCCTTCGTCTCAGCCACATCAGCCATCGTCGCACCACGGCGTACCACCCGCAGACCAACGGGCTAACGGAGAGACTCAACAAGACCATCGCCGACATGATCTCCATGTACGTCGACGTGGAGCACAAGACATGGGACGAAGCGTTGCCGTACGTCACATTTGCCTATAACACGGCCGTACAAGAGACCACCGGAGTGACACCCTTTCAACTGGCGCATGGGCGCAAGGTAACGACAATGGTGGACGCTATGTTACCCCACGAACCGGCAGTCGACGCATGCGACGACGCCCAGGTGATTGCCCAAAGGGCAGAAGAAGTCCGTCAGCTCGCCAGACTCCGGATTAAGGCTCAACAACGTGTCAACACTGGCCGCTACAACCTTCGTCGTCGGGACGTCCACTTCCAGCCCGGAGAGAGGGTGTGGGTGTGGACACCGATCCGCCGCCGTGGTCTCAGCGAGAAACTCCTGGAGCGCTACTTTGGGCCCTACGAAGTGCTTCGTCGACTCGGGGATCTGAACTACGAGGTGATGCCCGACGGAACACGGACTTCCTCACGCCGCCCTCCACGACCGGAAGTCGCCCACGTCGTGCGACTGAAGCCGTACTGCGCTCGAGAGGACTGTGGACCTTATGTGTTTTAAATGACTCTTTAGTTTACCGTCCTTTTTATTTGCTTTGTTTTGTTTTGGGGTTGCATCGGGACGATGCACTTTTTTGTAGCGGGGGTAATGCCGCGCGCGCAGCTGGTCAGCTCGGCAGCGTGCGCGTGGCCTAACGGTTATCGCGCTTGATTTCCACGCTGAAAGCCAGGGTTCGATTCCTGGCCGCGGAGGCACATTTTTTTTTTGACTCTGTAAAGTAATGTTCTGGTAAATTTGAGAACCATGTTGTTTGTTCGAGGTCGGAATGTTCTACCCGCCGAACTTTCCACGCCGATTATTCCAGAAGCCCACACGTGTACATAAGGGGCTCCGCGTGGCGATCTGCATTCAGACTCGCCCCAGCGCTCGATCCTGCGGTTTCGCCGACTTCGACGCCCGCGACGCTCTGTTATTATTTTTTGTAGCCCTTTTATATCTGGCACAAGTTCGCCACATTAAAAGTTTATTTCTTTCTGTTTATTTATTGTTTTTTGGTCACCACCCGTGACAATATAATACTCAATAGTATGCTGATGGAAAATTAAATATAGTGAACAAGATTATTTGTCTATAGTTACTTAACTGTCTTTGTTTTTATATATTTCCAGTGGCACTCTTTTTGTTCTCTACAATGAGGAGAGAAGTTTCGGAGCGATGTTTTCCTTTGGTAAGTAAATTGAACATAAACAATTGCTAACGGTCACAACGTACTTGGAAGGGCGAGGCGAGGAATCATCAGTTGCTGTATTCGATGAGGTATATGTGTTTTAGCTGACAGGGATGTAATCTGTAAAGACAATGAAACGCCAAGGACAGCTGTAACGTTATACTTTTTGTACTAAATTTTGAAGGCAATGCTTTTGTTGGAGCCTTACTTTATCCCAAAACTCAAAGTAGAGGCATGCTTTGTTTACAGAAGTCTGACAAACACCAAGTAGTAATTTTTCGCCTATGGGGAACGCTTCTTCTGCTTCAATTGGACTTGTCCAAGTAATAATTCAGATATGAGAGAAAAAACTGAACCTAGGCTTATCCAGTTTAGGTGCAAAAGTGCAGCACGCATCAGAAATAAAATTGTATCAAGTGTTTTTTGCGTAGAATTTTAAAACAATTCCTGAAACTAGGGTGTTCCATTTTTCGCAACAAACTGTCAGCCACGGCGTACGCAAGGGATTGAAGAAACATACTAATTAAAAGCATTATTATGAACAGTTTACTAATTACTTTTAATTTGTGAAAATAAATATATAGGTTCAATTGGAAACTTGCTGCGCGTCATTCAAAAACCACTAAATCAGTCAATTTTAGGATGACGTGTAGCACGAGGGAAGAGCGGGGGTGCGCTAAATTTACCACTCGTTTAGCAGACGGAAGGCCGGCGATTCAAAAGCGCGGATGATATTCTGATCATTCGCGTTATCGCGTCTCCGGCGGACTTTTTTTGTTTTGTGAAATCACAAATATAACTGTGGACCAATGCTGCGTTATTGTAATTAGAATCCGGCGGAAGGGCAAAGATATAAAATTGGCTTCAACTTCAACTTGGTTATTTGGCCACAATAAAGGCCACATGACCCGCTCTGCTGTTTAGTGGTTCTGCGTTGGTACGGCTTAATTTATATTGGAGCAACTTGCTTTTTGCTTAGTCCATATTTCTTCAGTTAAACTCAGCCTTTCAAATGTCTACAAAACAAATGTAGCACCTATTAACCTCTATGTTCATACACACCGCGATATGTTGGAGAACATGTTGATGTGCATTGATGATGAGGAAACAGCTTGAAAACTAAATGATTGCACAGAAACAGGACTAGAAACACGCAAATTCTACTAACTACAAGTTTTTAGTATTTGATCTATCTCGCTTTTCGGTCTAGTCTTCTTCCTCATCAACTTTCAAGAAAAACACGTACACACACACACGCATACAAACGCGCGCGCGCGCGCACACACTTTGTTGTGACGCGTGGACTGTCACTACGAGTTACTTGTTCGAAGCACACCGTAGATGTTTCTTTTCTTTGTTATGAAGCGTGATCGAAGGACTGCTGACAGATCCTTTTGAATTTATAATTTGTTCAGCGATGATAGAACGCGTAGGGAAACATGACGAACACCATTATGGTACGCTTTTGACCCTGTCTTATGGGCCTCATTAGCCCATAGCGTCGGCTGCGCCTGTAATTAAGCTGAAAAGAAGTATAGTGCCTCTAGTGTATCTAGTGCATAAAATTGAAAGAATAAAACACAGAGGGCCAGCACAGGACAACCACTTTCTTTCATTTAGCAACGGCGTTTAGTTTGGGCAAAGACATTGCACCCTGAGCGAGACCCCGACAAGATAGGTTGATAAGGAGAAAGGTAACAGGGAGATGGAGAGGGTGATATGGGGGACGGAAACGAAGCCCGGGGGGCTGGAAAGGTGTTAAAGAGGAAGAAATACTGGGAGATTTCATTTCATTTATTGTCCACAAAGGCATCTGGCGATGCATTACATGAGGGGGGATAGCAAAAAATGGGGAAAAGTCGCGATATACACATTGCATGAATAAAGAATGATCTGGGACTAGTTTTCACATAGAAAACACAGCAAACGCCATACACACAGAATGTAAACCAACAGCTGAACATAAGCGAATTCCGTACTCTAAAATAAAACAAAAATAACAATGGGATAGAAGGTGATTATTATGAATACAAAAGGACATCAGGGAGCAACAAATTAACAAAACAGTTCTTCACACCTCCGCTTAAGTCGATTCGGGTCAGATAAAATTACAACGTCGTTAGGAAGACTATTCCAGTCTTTTTTCGATAATGCGAGTAGAGAAAACATGAACAAGTTGGTGCGTGACTTAATGGGTTCCACTTTGCACGAGTGATCAAACCTAGCAGACGTGAACTGTGCAGGTGAACATAAGAATTTGCTAAATATTGTTTCGTCGTAATATATTTGATGAAAAAAACATAAACGAGCAATTTTTCGCCGCGTTTCTAACGGGTATAAACCCAAATTTCTTTTTAGACCAGTGGCACTTGTTAGGGGCGAATACTCATGACTGATAAAGCGCGCAGCTTTATTCTGTAGACCTTCTAATTAGGGCTGGGAAATTGATCGATTAACCTTCCGATTAATCGATTAAGGCTTTAATCGCAATCAAATTTTTTAACCGGTTAGTCGGTTGTTTAATCGGTACTCAAAACGAAGTCTACTGGACGCACGGATGGCTCTATCTTGGACGACCTGGCAAAACTATGGGTGACTCATGCCCCCCCCCCCCCCCCCCCTTAAGAAAAACGCTGCATGGCGTGTATCCGGTCGTTCTGTCTTGAGCGGTTTTCCGTTCCCAGCCAGGTGCAATAAGCAAGGTTCAATGAGGATATACATTACAGTTCTGCCGAGCCCACACGTTGGGCCAGACGAACAAGCCGGGCCCACAATTGATCCCCGCGCGACCGCGAAACTTCAGGTGTTGAGGATCTATTACACATCCTGCCCAGGCAAGACAAACAAGTAGAAAAACAAGCTGGGAAGCTAACAAAGCCATGGTTACTTGTTCCAATATTCGGCCCGTAAAAATGGACGAGTTCACGAGTATGAAAGGCAAACTCGTTGGAAAGTTTAGGTTTAAAGTAAACTCCAGCGGTGGAGTTTTAAACTCGAAGGAAGTCCACTGCATCATCTGCAAAAAGCCGTTTTCGCACAGTGGAATCGTAAGTTCGCTTCAGTATCACCTACGAGCGAAGCACCCATGTACGCCGCTGCAGCATGGACCGTCCGTCAAAACGCGGACAACAATCAACGCCTTCTCATCGAAGCCCCTCTCTGAAAAAAAGAAGAAAGCATCGCCCAAGCCCTGACTTCTTGTCTTCCTGTCGGAAAATGTGGACAAACTTCTTTGTCTTCGGAGCTGGAGCAAACAATATGTGTCTCTGAATCGTTGAACTATATGTTTCCTCAATTCTAAATGCCCTTTGCGCCGTGTAACAGTGACTAAAATAAGTCTTCAAAGGCAAGACGAGTGTGTGCATTTTTTAAATATATTATTTATAAAAATCAATGCAACCGATTAATCGATTAATTAATCGATTAAAGGGTGGCGATTAATCGGGTTAAAATTTTTAATCGACTCCCAGCCCTACTTCTAATTGTAGCGTTAAGTAGTTTTGGTGACGATTCCATATTACACTAGCATATTCTAGCTTAGGAAGGATAATAGTTTTGTAAGCAAGAAGTTTTGTCGATTGTGGGGCGGAATGAATGTGGCGTTTCAAGAAACCCAGTTTCCTTCATGCATTGGCGACTGCGCTCTCTATATGTGTTTTCCAAGACAAACTGTTAGTGAAATGGACACGTAAGTACTTATATAGTGGTACATTTTCAATATCCTGGTTCAAAATTGAATATTGGAAATGCGATATGTTTTTCTTATTTGTGACTGTTAATACGCGATATTTACTGGAGTTTATTTTCATTTGCCAGGTAGTACACCACTCGCTAATTTTGTTTAGGTCGTTTTGAAGAATTGCATGATCAACTGGGGCGGAAATTTTTCGCTAGGCAGCAGAATCGTCAGCAAAAAGTCTGATCGTCGACTCCATATTCTCAGGGAGATCATTGATATAAACTATGAAAAGCAAAGGTCCGAGAACACTTCCTTGAGGTACTCTAGAAACCACAGGCACCTGTGGAGAGACACTATTGTTTACCATTACTGACTGAGTTCTGTCAATGAGAAAAGCCGATATCCAGTCAAGAATGTGGGGGTCGATTTTGAGATGACAAAGTTTGGAAATTAAACGATTGTGGGGTACTGTGTCAAACGCTTTCGCAAAGTCAATGAATGTAATATCGGTTTGTGTTCCAGCGTGAGTATTTAAATACAAATCATGTACGAATTCAATGAGCTGAGTGTTACATGAGTAGTTTTTCCTGAAACCGTGCTGATTAGGAAAGAAAAAGTCGATTTGATCTAAGTGTGCCATGACGTGCGTAAAAATAACATGTTCCATTAGTTTGCACGGGACACTTGTGAGGGAAATAGGACGATAATTCGAGGGGTTTGATGAGTCACCTGATTTGAAAATGGGTGAAACGATTGCAGAACGCCAATCGGGGGGAACATGTCCCGAAACTAGGCTCTGTTGAAATAATTGTGAAAAAATTGGAGACACGAGACATTTTATCAACTTCAGAAACTTTCCTGATATGGAAGCTTCACCCGGAGCACTGTTAGTGGGTAGTTAATCTATTATCTTTATAATGCCTTCACTACAAAATTCAAGGGGGGGCATAGCGATAACATTACGCTCGGAAATGGGGGCAAGAGGGAAGTTCTCTTGTGTAAATACGCTAGAGAAAAATAAGTTAAGTAGGTCTGCTGCTTCATCATCGTTCATGTGGCGATTGTCATCTGTGAAAAACACGGGGTCAGTACGGCCATGACCCGGATTAATTGCCTTCCAGAACTTGCGAGGGTCGGTTTGAAGTAAGTGCGATAACTTGGGGCCGAAGAAGTCTCTTTTTGCTTTTTTAACTTCGCCTTTGGTCTGGGTTGGAAACGACCGATAAGAAGACCAGTCAGAATCATTACCACCCTTTCTAGCTTTTGAACAATCGTTTTTTTTTTGTTTAGTAAACGTTTTAGGGTGGTCGTAAACCAGGGTGAGAGGGTATTTGATCCGATTTTGATTTTAGAAACGTAGGTTGAAAGCAGACGTTGCAGAGTGGTCTTATTCTGAGTCTAGTTCTCTTGTGCCGAACGATGCATGCAGGTCATTATGTATTGCTCAAAAAACAATGCTAGTTCAGCGTTTAAAGCGTCCACATTAGCGCGAGCGTAATTGTGAATATACTTCCGGCAGTTAACAGAGCGTTCTAAAATGAAAGATGTCTCAACATGTACAATGGCATGGTCACTAATAAGGTCGATAACGTTAGTGGAATTCACATATTCAGCACTGGACACCAAAAATAAATCTAGTATTGCGAGGTCCCGTGTTGGAACTCGAACCATCTGTGAAAGTTGAAACGTTTGTAACAGACAAAGAAACTTGTTTGAGTGACTAGAACCCACAGAATTCGGAAGTGGCTGGAGCGTTTCCCAATTTATTTCTGGGTAGTTAAAGTCTCCAGCAAGAATGAGAATGTCATAGGAGTAAGCACTTCGTATTCTACTGAGGCAGGAGTACAAGTTATCGTTGAAATCACAAGGCTTAGTGTTTGGTGGACGGTAACAGGAACCAATCAAGGCGTGGCGAAAGTCTAGCTTTACCCGAATCCAAATTATTTCCAGGAGGGAATCGCATTTAACATAGGAACAATGTATACTATTTTTAATGGCAATGAGCACGCCTCCGCCTCTCGTGGAAACACAATCTTTCAGGAAGATTTTGTAGCTATTATGCAAGTTTAATTCGGAATTTTCAACATTGGATGTCAACCAAGTTTCGGTACCGAGAATAACGTCAGGCTCGCACGACGATGTGAAGCACTCGAGTTCGTCTTGCTTGGAAATTAACCTGCGAAAGTTTGCTAAAAAAAAGGATAACGTTTGTACATTTCTAACGTAAGGGGCCGCTCGAAGTTGTTCGCTTTGAGCAAGTCACTCTGGGGGGCGCGCACTCTCGCACTGCGGTGATAGGGATGATAGGAGAAGGAAGGGGGGAACCACGAGGCACAGGCAGAACTACCGTGATGTTGTGTATTTACGGGGAGTTGCGATATTTAGCAAGTTCAGGCTTGAGGACTTCTCATTCCCGTCCTGATAAGGTTACTGAGGCCGATGAAAGGTTGTTTTTTGCGTTCTGGAGGAGAAAAGATTCGATAATTTCACTTCCGTGCCGATTGCGGTGTCCCCCTCTTGCTTTGGTTCCTGTGAAGTCAGGCGCGCATCCAATGCATTCGTCCGCGTGAACCGCGATCGGTCTTCTGATCGCGGTTCACGCGGACGAATGCATTGGTCGCGCCTGACCCCGTAGCACACTCTCCATCTCCCTGTTAGCCTTCCCCCATATCAACCTATCTTGTCGGGGTCTCGCTCAGAGTGCAATGTCTTTCCCTCAAATAAATGTCGTTGCTAAATGAAAGAAAGCGGTTGTCCTGTGCTTGTCCTCTGTGTTTTATTCTTTCAATTTTAGGTATTCATGTTCAACCCGCTCGCCTTCATTAGTCCAATGTATCTAGTATTTGCAGAATTTTTTATCGCAAGAATGCTGACGCTGTTAGAGGCTGGACTACACTAACACGTCTTCTTTTTTTGCTGACAAGTGTCCTGATGATGTACGCTACACCGCCCCTCTGGTATCCATTGTTCTATAAAGATTACATCGACCCGTTTGACCGATGTAACACGTGCCGCACCAGAGGTGAATGCGGTAGACTACTCCTGTTTTGCACTGGGGCAAATTTTGCTATATGAGCAACGTTGCATGCCTTCTTTTGCTTGGTTCTCTTATTTCCTCAGCGGCACATGAAGTAGGTTTTGTTTATGGCAGAACATGCCATCTGCACGTTCTGTCGTCCGCGATCTGTTTTATTAAATATGAGTGATCTCGTCTTTGTATGGGATCACGGCGATTTTCTTTCGAGTCTTGTCCGTCTCCGTTTTTGCTACTTTCTGGCGTGCGTTTGAGTCTCTTACAAATATTTTCGTACATCCCTACTAGGAGGTTATCAGGGTTTTTGTAGACGAGATATTTGCCTCGTAAAACATAGCTCAGTCTAATTTTCTGTTTTGTTTTTTGTTGTTGAAAGCTGTTCCCCCACCATCAATGACCCATGTACGAAGTACTTCAGCTGAAACAGGTCACCAGCTTACGGGGTTAATTAAAAGGGCTATCACGCCACAAGAATTCCAAGGTTCAAAGAAACTAGAAATCAGTTAATATTTCCGCTAATTCGTGTATCCACCATTCACGTGCGAACCTTCTTAGCGTAACGAGGTTCCGGCAGTGTAATCTGTTCATGTCCTAATTGTAAACACAAACATATGAAGTTCAATACTCCATTATAAGACATCAAAACTGAAAAAAAAAAAATTTATTACTGCGAAATTACCTTTTTTTTGGGGGGGGGGGGGGGGGAAACACCGGACTTTTAGAATGCAAACTTCTCAGTATAAAAAAAATTTAGAAATGAACAGAGTACAGATAATCATTAATGATTCATATTAACTCAGGTAAGACATGTTTTAAATAATGCGCAGTGATTTTTGTTTTGTTTTGAATATAATAAATTGATGACTTACAGATGGTGTTATGTACTTCACTGTTCTTGAACCGTTCGAAGGCGAGACACTCTACCTTAAAATCGGTAAGTAGAGGCCGTACTTTACTGCTCTTTATAAAATGAAACATCATGTGCAATAAGCGTCAGAGTTGAAATGGTAATATTTCCAATCTTCTGTACTGCTCGGACATCTAAAGATTTTTTTTATAAAAAAACGAGCATAACTACTATTTTCCTTTACTCAATATTAACCTAGCGAAATTTGTAATTAAGAAGTATAAATAATTATAAAGTTGTACTTCTTCTTATCCTGTAGGATATTTTTTTAAACTAATCAGTTATGGGACATGTAACCCTGACCGAACAGATGAGTTTAAACTTGTGGTTCCTTATTTTCCGCGGACGTAGAGCGAGTACCTAAATGCCATAGCTTACTGATGTAACGAAAATAATTAAACAATGTAGTATATTATAACACACCTTTACGTCATGCAACTTAATCTGAATTTGTCGGCGTTTAGACAAATGATGAGATATTTATAATTTCAAGCGAAGAAAATGTTCGCGATTCTCTTTGCTCGAGGAACTTTACAAGAATATTAGTAAAGCCTTTGTGATTTATCCGCTTTTAACACGTTCTCACATCGTTCCAAACAACTTACAATGTGCAGCTTTTTATTGTTATGTACCTCTATATCTTCCCGTAAAGGTACACTGATACCCCAAAAAGTTTTTCTTAAACTTTCTGCCGGGCGATTTATTATGGTGTCAGAAGACGACCCAATCAAAATTTTGCAGCAAAGTCACGTATATTTTTAATAAAGTAAAAGAAAAAAAAAAAAAACGCAGCTCCTCAAAACTTAAATTGAAACTGGACTGGGGTGGAACAAGAAATATAAAGGAGGCGACAGTTAGCGAAAGTTGCGTAGCTGTGAAACTTTTTTTTTTCTTCAATCAACGTATTTCCAGTTTCTTAGAAGGCACAAAAAAAATTAGTATCGTATTTTCGTGTATTTCTATTATTGAGTGTTTGCCTTCAATGACCCACGACTTTTATTGTCTTTGGTTGGTTCTGTCTAAATCATAGAAAATTCACGTAACCACGGAGAAGAGAGTAAGCGCGACAAAACCGTCCAGTTCTCGATCGGCGGTTTTCGGGCGGTTAGAAAACGAATTTCGAACCGCGAATCGTGTCCTGGGTAGTTGGGTTCTTATATGTCATGAACAAATAAAAACCGTGGCGAGCGTAAATACCCTGCCAGTGTCCCTTTAAGAAGTACTGATCTAAAGATAATAAGCCGAAAGCTTCCTTTAATGAGTCACTCACTTGATGTTCCTTTATTTTTTTTTCTAATTCATACAAGCTTGACGATATATATGTTATGTGCTTTTCTTTGTATTTAGACAAAACGCTTGACAGTGCTCGACTGTTTCATTTTAGATATCATGAGCCCGTCCCATGTTATCCTGTACAAGATATTCGATGAAGATTTTGAGTGTGAGAATGCCAAGGAACTTTTAAAGAAGGTGTGTCCGGATCCGTGCGACATGACGCTGAGTCGAGAACTCTCCAATGATTGAAAGACAAATGAGTTCAAAGGCTCTGTGTTACTTCTAGCCCTTGTTGGTTATTTTGAATTGTCATGTTATGAAAGCTGAAATACTGCTCGTAATCGAGCAAAACAATAAATATACATAGAATATAAAAAAAAATGAAAAATACTTCTTTGCGTGTTTTAATATTGTACGCTTTTGAAATCATACAACTACGTTATTTTATTTGCCTTCTTCCTTATGTAATCCTCCGATTCCCCATGTCAAGTAACATGCTTCTACAATACCACCTATTGTGTTTTCGTATTTTAGAAAACCAGCCAGTGAGAGCCACTTACGCACTAACGTACTCATGGTGAACTCAACAATAAATTTCAACAATGTGCGGTACTATTAGAGGATCTTCAAAAAGAGGGTGGACGTGGCTGCCATAAATGACAGCCCTAGCCAACTAAAACCATTAAAGACTTAAAAAAGAAAAAAAAAACTGCGGATATGTTTGGCGCAGGTTTTTTTTTCAGTTCGGAAAAAAGTGGTAAACTTTTATTATCACAATCACTCTTTATTCTTCCGGGACATCTCTCAGTTTGAGTTTCCTCCGCTTCCTGGCGTTTGCGGTGAGTTGCTTCCACTTGGAGGCAAGACCGCCTACACTTTGTTTCAAGCCAGGCCGTAGTGAATGCTCCGAGGCGCTGAGGTCTATCACGTAGCGCTAAATGAACAACGTTACGGCGTTTGTCGTCTTTCTGTGTGTTTGCTTACACGAGAGGAACCAATCAAGGGCACACCGCGCGTTTGACCTTGCATTTTAAATGCATAGAATTTAGAAAGCCAGAACCTAGCGCTTTTGTTTACCCAACGTAGCTCAAGCTAGGAGGCGAATCAAGAGGAGGTGTAAACCTCAATGATGGGGGAAAGGGCGCTCAAGCGCTGAAGCCAAGAGACGAAAGAAAGCTACGATGTGGGATCAAAGCGAGGAGAATATCAAATACTACACTGTTAGAAAAACTCCTGTCAAAGTATGGGACACATACATGCTAACCTTGTTGCCACAACATGTACCGTATTACCGGACTACAGAACATGTTCCATACTTCTTTAGTATGGGACATAATCTTGTTGTATGGGCAGCCAGAATAAGTTCCATACACCATCATCACGGAACAAGTAGTGTGTGCTACAGGAAATGTACCATCATGGCACACAGCAGCACATGTTCGGTTGCAAGCCATGCTAGAACATGTACCATTTTTACGAAGTACATCACATGTTCCAATGCGTCCAAAATGACACAGGTTACATTTCTTGTACTTACGGAAAAAGTTCAGTCTTGTTTGTGATAGTACTGGCCCCATTTTATGTTACTACCGCTATTCACGAGAATATCCGGGCTTTGTCTGTCACATGCCAAGCTTCTCTTTAAAAAAGTTGATATGAGACACGCAAAACATGGATGTCCTGACAGTTTGCAGGCGCAACTTGATGCAAGTCTTTGCAACATAAAATTACCTGCAATGCGGAAATGTTCCCCAAACTTGTATGGAAAATTTGAACTGTCGTATCTAATGCGAGCACTAACCTGAAAAACAAAACAATGAATCTGTGACATATATATTCAATAGAACAGCCAGGAATGCTATGAGAAAGTGCTCGCATGCTACGTCAAGTTTAGAGATCATTGTACATGTAGGGACGGGGATAAAGGCATATAAACATTTGTAAACATCCTTATGAAACTAATTTCACGCTTGGTCGTTTTGGTTCCAAACCATAGCAACGGACCCATTGCGAAGAAGACTGAACAGTTTGCTGCTTCAAAAATATTTACATTTATTTTTCTTTTAAATGACTAGAACACATACACAATAAGAAAACATTTCATGCCGCAAATATATTTGGGGCAGCTCAGCCATCAAAAAAAAAATATCAAAGTGAGCAGTCTACTAAAGAAAAATGTCACAAAAAATTATGCTGACAAGCTACACCTCGAAAAGAACCATCTTGGCCTATGACAACAAATAGTAATATTAACAATAGAAAAAAAATGAATCTAAACAAGCACCGAATTTTCTTTCCGCTTCTTTTGGAACTTCGAGAACTCTTGGAGGGCTCCCTGCGCCTTCAGACGCACCAGAGCAACTTTTCTTCAAGACTGCCGGGGACCTCCTGTGGGTTCATTGCCAGAAGTTGCCTGAAAGAAAGAGCACTGAAATAATGGGCGGGATTATTTAGAGGAAGATGTCTAACAGAAGCTAAGGAGTTCCTGACTCCTTCTTTAACTTCTCTATCGGTTAGTAATCCAATCTGAACGAATTCTAAATCTTGACTATAGTATACTTTCAAGCGGAGACAAACGTCCCTAAACTGGACAGTCCGTGCACACACCATGAGCCTCCAAGTCTAATCCTTGCATCAAAACAAATCTTGATTGAACAAAAAAAAATATATATTTCACCCCACTGGCATTAGTTCTCAGTAATAACTGCGCACATTTCGGAACTTGCGTGAGCACACAACGCTAAGACATTCTACAACCCGAGACGGAGGCTACAAAGGAGGACAAACACATCCATCTCAATTGAGACGTATGTCTTCGTAGCCTCCATCCCGGGTTGTAGAATGTCATATTAACCAGCTCGCCTGCCTAGTAACGTTGTACACAACAATACTTCGGTTAAAAAAGTAATTCAGAGTACCAGTCAGTGCAATATTACAAAAAAGCTCGCCTGAAGTGCTTAAGCAGAATATTGTGGTTAATATTAGAACACTGAACATTCATGTCTTTTGGTTCATATTACTTATTTTGACTGATAAGCATAGCCCGGTCACAGGTATATTTATGTGCCCCTGCAAAACAAGGACCCATGCATTTGCAACCGAGTGATACTAAGGCGGGTTAAAATATAAGTTGCACGTACCGTAGGATGCATAAGTTCTAGTATTGGTTCTATATGACAATATATCTGAGTACCAGATTCGTGTTGATTCTTTCATTATATTGCAACATAATAATAGGATTTAAAAAGAAGCGGTCCTCCCCGCAGCACATCCAATTAATGTGAGTAACGAATTGTAAAGCGAATTGCGAATTGCCAAACAAATTGTAAATAAGGGTGTCTAGAAAGCAGCACATTAACATTAGACCTTTGCCTTTCTTAGTGTAAAGTTTCAACAAAAACATGGTTCAACATGTTCCAGGTTGCTGCTGAAGGTGCCAAACAAACACAAAGCCTAAGGCTAATATTCTGCTCTACAAAACATATTTTTTTCCAAATTGCTGTCGAAAGTTAGACACTTTGCTTGATGTAATTGGCAATGCCTCAGCGACAGTGTGACCAAGCTGAATGAAACCCTTAATATTTACATGGGAATACTGCAATACGTTCGAGGAATCGTTATGCGTCTGATATCCTTTTTTTTTTTTCTTTCTTTACAGATTTCTTTAAAGAAAAGCCATGAAAGCTACGCGTATGCGGTTTGCGCGAGTGAGTTATACGCCCAGGGGGACATTACCGGGGTGGCTAATCTTCGCGATAAGTCGGCTAATTAATTGAAATTCGTTAATTATATTTTAATTAGTGGAAGTAGTCGTATGTTTCCAATTAGATATTTGCTGAGCGTCGTTCAAATTCCCTAGATCAGTAATTTTTGAAGGACTTTGAGTGCGTGAAAAGCGCAACAGTGTGCTGAAGTTACTACTCGTGGAGCAGGTACAAGGCTGGGGCTAGCTAAGAGACGGAAAAATCGCGCGGGCGCCTTACCGCAACCTCGTGCTCCACAAGTGGTAACTTTATTGTACTACTACACTTCTCACGCGCTTAAAGTATTTATGAAAATGACTCATTTAATGGCTTTCGATAACACTTAGCAAGTCTTTAATTTGAACCATATGTCTATTTTCACTCATTAAAAAGTTAACCAATTTTAATTCATTAGCCGACATATTGCAAAGATTAGCCACCCACACAATGTCCCCCTGGGCGTATAACTCACTCGCAAAAACCGCATAAGTGTAGCTTTCATGGCTTTCTTTAAACAAATCTGTAAGAATAAAAAAAATCCTGCATATGTACAGTACTCAGCAAAGGAACACGCGACTGTATTACCTCTTAAGATTACATCAATCTATGACGTAGCGCACAAAATTGTTGCATTAAGCATTAAGCGTTCGGCCACCGACAAGTTAGCGCGTTTATGAGGTAATAACAGTTTGTGTGTTCCTACAAGTTTCGGAAACATTGCACATTGCCAAAGGAAAACAGTGTTTGAACTTTTTGACTTGTACCCTATACTGTAAACGACTTATTTTTCGCGGGCTCAATATTTCGCGATTGAGGTAAAAGTTGAAGATTTGGAATAATTCGCGGGTTCTAATTTTCGCGATGCGGCGGGATCCCAATATAGATTCCAATGTGTTTACATTTTACCAAGATCGTTCGCGGGACCTTTTTTTTTTTTTTTTTTTTTTAATTGTAGGCGATTCGGGAAAATTACTATCTTTCGAAAAATAAGTCGCCTACAGTCTTCGAAATCTCCAATTCTGAGCCCAATTGGCTTTGCCGGAAATACGTTGAAGAGCACACCACCATTCAAAGGTATGCCAAACTGCTTAGGATGTTGGCAAGGACACGATAACAGATTAGGTACATAATTTATTGCTAACGGCCTTTTATGTCATTAACGCTGTCAAAAATTACTTATCAGTTATTGCTGCTTCCCAGACAAAAATAAATCGCCTATTTATTTCTTCACGAAATGCAATATCCACTTGACAATTCAACCACTTGAAGGGATTAGAACTGTCCATACGATACATTTTTCCAAAGCAAATTCACAGTGCACATTTTCATAACTGAAAGGCACGTTCATAGTTACCTCTAAACGAGCTTCAACGCTGCTGGCAGCTCAGCAGGGTACTTTAGGTTGAGACAACAGTATGTGGCGTACATCAGCTCCATAGCAGAGAGGAAGCT